GAGGTATATGATGGAATTATCGGTATGTATTTTCCGCCAAGACAATCACGATACTTGCGCCCAGTATGCGAACAGACAATGGAAACATGCGCGCAGTGGTTGGATCAAGTCATGAATGACATGGCGAAGCGCAACGCGATTCCACTTATAACTACTGATCTCAATGGCGCGCTTCTACTGCATGATGACGAGCGGGTAGCTGGTCCCTATGCGAATGGGAAGGAATATTTGTCAACGAAACGTAGGCGTCCATTGTTATGCGGATGGAATCTTCGCGCTGCCAGCATTTGATGTGCAATCCGCCGTCTTATGCAGGCAACCGAAGTGAGTATTGCATCGACCACCTTATCGTACCGAACGAATTATCACAAGCTGTGGGGGGATGTCATCGATTCTGCCGCGATGGGCGAAAACTGCAACTACATGAAACTCACCAAGTACTTGACCACAGACCAATGCAGATCGCCATGTTTTTGAAAAATTGCAAGCGACCTCTGCCTGAACGCGCCCCATCGACCTAATCGCGAAGCTCCTTGCTGCTGCCTTCAACGAGGATACAAGCGACGGGGGTTATTCGACGAGATGGAACGCATCGCGCAAGGGAAGTACGACATACTTCACGATATTGAACGATTTGAAGACGTTGACCGCATGAATCAATAGTTCGTTGATATTGTAAACACAGCGCTGGTAACACTTTTAGACAAGACCCCATTGTGCACTGAAGATCGACAACAACATTCAGCGGAATTACCAGATTTACTCCAAATTCGTCGAGGATGAAGACACATGCGAAGTGACCCAGCATATGATATGCTGTACCAGTATTTGTCAATTTTGACTGTTGATCTGAGCAAGACACTGAAAAAGTCTGCACGGAAGTATTGGGATCGAGTCACTAAGCGTCGAGTTCGCGATCTCAACGACGCCGCGAAGCAGATCAACGGCTACTTGGCGCAGCGCACGGCGAGACTTATAGCAGGAAGTCGTCGAGGACCTCGCCGACGCAAATTCGCCGCGATCCCCACTCCTTCTGCGCCTGCGAAATGATTGAGTGAGCGAGCGAAACTGCCGGCGCACAAAGGATGATGTCCAGCAGTTGAGATTGACATCCAAGACATCAAGGAGTAGATCTCCCAAGAACAACGCGATGGTGCTGATGATGATAGATATTCCGAATGGGCTGCTGGAGATAGCAATATGATGGTTACTTCTGATTGGCGAATGAAGCTATGGCGAGCTTATCCTGCTTGGAGTATTCCAGCTGAAGCATTGCAATTGTTATTTGCTCCAAAATGGGTGAATCCAAGAAGACCTGCAGCGACAATGGGAATACGGTTCTCGCCAGTTGAATATCACCCCCCGAAAGGTCTCCAAGGCCTACTACGAGCTGTTCTGTTTATGGCGCGGAAGCACAATTGAACCCTTGCTACCTGGTGCGCGGCACATGGCGCTCGACTGCCAAACGGAAATCAGAAATTCGACGTGGACGGAGAACGCATCACTATGATTTTGTCCACAGTTGGTAGGGCGTTTCACGCCGCGGCTTTGCATCGGAAGAGAGCTGTTTGGACGCCTGGCGATTGGATTCACGGTGGGCTGAGGCGGAGACGACGTGAATCCGCCATGGGCGCTCGGCTCATCTCGTCGCATCGGTTCCAAGCGGCTGGAATATCCCACCTTTTGCGTTGCCATGACGCCACGAATGCCTTCTACAGTGCGAAGCGCGCCGTGGCCATGAGAAGTCTGCCCGCGCTGCGTGGGTGCATTGATGCGCAGCTTGCCGGGGATAGGGTCGCGAAGGGGATTGTTTTATTAGAGGGCGAATCTTGGAAATATTGGATGAGGCCAGGCGGGGGAATTTGGCCAGGAGGTGTAGGAGTTGCGTTAGTATTTGCTCGCACGTTCTACCCACCTGCGATCGAGGCCATTGCCGACGCGCGCGTGATCGAGAGGCGGTGCAAGGCCGTCGAGGTAGACGCCCCCTGGGACTCAGAGGACCTCCGGCAGATGGCTCTCGCTGGGTTTTGTAGATGACATCGCCGACGAAGTTTTTGAAGCCAACATGTCTGGCACCACCCCGGGCAAGCTTGAATTCGGAAGCCGACTCGACAACGTCTCTATCGACAAAGGGGTGGAAACAAGGAAACGTTGCGCGTATTCGAGGGGAAGGTGCACGCGCTGCATCTAGACTCATACACAAGAAGCGCACCAACATCGCTGGACATACACTACATCATGTCAGATATCTTGTTTTTCAGAGCAGTACGTTCACTCCTGTTCCTGAACTCGGAAAGCGACCCAAGGCCCTGCAAGCGGCCTTTTATTCCATGGGGCGTTTTTGGGTTCTTCTTGGCGCCAAGTTCGGCGTAAAGAAGTCCACGTGCAAGGGGTTGCTCATCAACGCGGCCCTTGCCGGGCTAGAGGCACTAGTTAAAGGAGCTGATCCTCTCTCGAGCAGCGACCTGACCGAGCTCGACGCCTTTGTCGTGCGCAAAGGCCGTGCGATATTAGGTGGCGCGGCAGAGCGGCAAGGGGCATCTGGACACACGGTGTCGAGCAGTGCCTCGGAAGTCCTGCGTCGATTTGGAGCAGGCGCGCTATTTCTTAATTTCAGGACTCGCATATTGAAGTGGCTACAGCGCATGGTGCAGGAGCGCGTCAACAATCGTGAGTTCTTGGCCGCTTGCTTCGGACGTTATCTTGTGGACGGCGTTGTCTTTTGCGAGAGTGGTGCCACGCGTGCGCGTGCTCATCCTTGGGCACGACAATTTGAACAGTATATGGTTGCCTTAAAAGATACATATTCTGGGGGCAGCATGTGGGAGATAGGAGGATCATTGAAGGGGATATTATTCGATGACTTCGAGAACTTCATTCGGGTCGACATCGACGAGTTGCGGGTGACATTTCCCGCCGAGCGACAACGCGCCCGTGAAACCGTGGGGGGGGAGAGGAGGGGGGCAGTATACATGTCGAGAAAAAAAAACTTGCTGATGGCACAGTATGCAACACAAAATGGCCAACCAACCATGCACTGACGAACCGCGTCGCGAACGCAATCGGAGGTGCACGCGGCAAGCACAACGTTGGACGGAGATTTACGATTACTAACACTTGTCCTATTTGTGCCAGTGTATTCAGAGATAAGTTCGTTGCGTATCATCATGTAGCGGCCAGCTTACGACGACAGCATTGCCTTGCAAATCGGGGGCGGTTCGAGGAACAGATTCGTGGATGGCGTGCCCGATGTGTCTCGAAATTTTCGACGACCTGCAGCCCCGGCTCAATCGCGCCCAGCAGCACCTGAGTCCTTTGCTGGACCCTGCGTTCTACATCGCGAACCTCGATGCCGAACAACCAGAGCCTCGCGATCGTCACCTCCTTTTGTAGAGTGCTCTTGGCAGAAAATGTATTCTGGCAGCTGGGTGCCTCAGCTGCGCGGTCCTCAATGTGGCCGACGAAGGCAAGCAGAGCTTGCTAGCGCGAGACCGTCCGACACTCAAGCTCCCCAAGCAGATGATAGCTAAGCAGACAGGGGAAGAGGCAGAGGACATGGGCGAGGACGGCGAGGGCGCGGCAGAGGTAATATCCGTCATGCAAGCGCTGATCGTTCAGCTCGAAGCCAGCGTGCGCCTGCTTGAACACGAAGCGACGTCGACAGCCATCCTCGACCGCGAGCGCCAGATAGTCGCCGACACCAACAAGTCGCATCAGGAGTTCGTGAAGGCACGCAAGCCGGACCCCACGACCGACTTAGGCTCTCCAGTTTGCCAAGCGGCCTACAGCATTCTAGTCGTCTTGAAATATTGGCCCTGCAAGGACATCTCGGTGCGAATCTCCAGACTGAAGTTCGGGATCGAGCGTCGCGTCCAGATCGTCAAGAACACCGAGCCCGAGGAGGTCGCGACGTGGGTCAAAGAGGCCGCAGCATTCCTGGCGCGCGACAAGCCAGGCCAACCCCAGAAGAGCAGGCTCATATTCAAGTTTCTCGGGCAGGGACTGGTCCCGTCGAAGAGTCCGACCAGAACGAGCTCCTCAGCGCCGTGAACAAGGACAAGCAATACCATCCACTACACCAAGCCGGCCCGTTCGAAACGCCGACGGCGCACTACGGAGTCAAGGGCATCATGATTGGAGTGGAGTGGAGTCGTTGATAGGTGAACTTGTACGGCATTCAGGTGGCAAGATCATTATGAGTAAAGCGCCCTGCGGGATCTTCGCCGGGAAGCTGCTACCTAGACGCCGAGTGTCCTTTATATTTTGCTATGTGGAGCATGGTGAGGTATTACATTGTGCAATATAGTGTACGTTGTGGTCTCGCCTGACAAGAATTGGAAGGCTAAATTGGGGATAGGTGCGCCCCTGTTGCACCACCAGTTGTGGATGATGTACTGAGTATGCTCAGCGGCTGCCGCCAGCTTTCACGTCCGCCGACACTTGGAAACCCAGGTAGTGATTTCCTCCCTCCAGACTTGCTGGAGGCCCGAATGCGCCTGGCCATGCCGCTCGTGGGCGGCCAGGCTCCCGTGCAGCGTCCCGAATCGGCGGGGCATCTGCCTATCACGGTGCCCTTAGAGCCAGCAAGTTGAGGGCTGATCGCATTAAGTTAAATCCCCCCCAGGTTCCCGAGACATTTATCAGGAGGTAGAGTGAACCGAATGGATGAGAGCGAGCGAGCGAGTTCCTCTCCTTTTTTTCCTCCTTCTCACCTTCCTCCTCCTTCTCCGCCGCCTCCCTCCGCGTTGATGGGCTCGTCTCGCGGCGGCCGGCGTGGCATCGATCTATTTTGGGCCCCCCAGCTTCTCATGCAGTGGAGGCCCATGCCAAAGAGCACCCTGCTTGCCTCCAGGGTGCCTTGGTATTCTTGTGTTTCGATGGTCTTGCCATGGAAAGCGTGGCGTTCCCACGCCGAAAATCAATGGGCGCCCTGGGGTCTCAGGGTTGGGTTCCTTGTGGAAGGTTCCTCGTGGGCTGGCCTCCGCTGCGCCCCTCCGGAGGAGTGCTGGTAGCCACCGCGGGCAGCACGACCCTGCTCGTGGCCCTGGGCGCGGGGCCGGGGCAGGACGAGCGCGCGGCCGCCGTGGCGGCAGTCAGGCGGGCCCACCGTGGGGGGGAGGTCGCATGCAGGGCCCATGCCCCAGGACGTAGGAAAGACATGTGGCATGAAGGGGTGTATCGCCAATGGTGGAACTGGCGGTTCCATCGACGACAGATAGGTCGAAGAAGAAAAACGCCATAAACATAAACTTTTGGCGCTCCCCGCTGATTTTTTGGATCCGGGCTGGTGCCCCCCGGCGGCGCCTCTTGTGCCGCCCCTGCCGCGCTCCGCGCGCCAGAGAGGGGGGTCCAGCGCGGATCTATGTAATCCGCGTGTAGAGCCGAAGTTTCATGTTTACGCCGTTTCTTCCTTTCCTGTGTCGTTGATTTCTTTTTTTTCTATTTTAACAGTATTAGTCGTATTCTTATGATTATCGCTATTACGCCGCACCCCTCTGCTCCCGTCAGACTGTCGATCCCGGACCTCTAACGCGCTGGCAAAACCAGGGGGAATGCGAAGGTTTCTGTCCGTCTTCGGCCGCCGGAGGCCCTGGCTGGGGCCCCGGGGGCCGTCAGCACAACCATGCGGGATGAAATATCGACCCCGGGGAAAGTGTCCCGACTTCGAGAAACGCGCAGTCGGGGGCGGCCAAGAGGAGGGTGATGATTGGGGGGGGATATCGTGGCGGGGGCCATGATATCTCCCAAGATTTCGCCGCGCCTCGTTTCATTTCATTCCGTTCCTGGCCCTCCCCCCCTTGGCACCGCACATGCCGCCGGCCACGATTTGTGCCCCCCCCTCTTTTGGACGCCCCCCTCTTGGCCGCCCCCGAGCATTGAAACAATGAAGGCATCGGACGTCGGGGATCCATGGGTCCGATCTCGATCCAGTATCAACTTCGGACGGGGGGTGATGGCCAGGGGTGCGTGGAAATCATGCCCACGGCCATGGTATCTTCCGGGTGTCATGGGCCCTGCTCTTGTTTCCGGTACGTTGCCTGCCCCTTATCAGTGCTTTTCTGGCAAGTTACGACAATAAGGCACTGATTTGGCCTTCACGCGATGTTTGGAATGTACACTGGTGCATGAGCGTATCTCACCACATGTGGGCACCATGACGTTGTGTGTGGGGGGTCCTCGTTGCAAGTGTGCTCGTTCGTTTTGGACCTTTGCACAGTGAGACGACCGCTTACCGATGGCGAGGGCGCACATGTTCAGACTAGGCGGCCACGCTGTGCTTCCCTGTCCTTCTCCAGACTGTCGTCCCCTTCCTTCTTGCAGTGCGTCGTGACGTCCAGATGTCTCAAGAGAACCATGGTGACGTAGCAGGGCTCGTCGTCTAGATCCAGCACTAATCGCCGAGCGCGTTCTTCTACTCGCAAGGTGCTTACTCGCAAACGTCCGAGAAACAAATACATATGTTCCTCTTTGTAGTGGATCGTAAATCCTTCGCGGCAGATCCAGGCCATTTGCGAGTAGGTATTTTGTGATGTGTGACACGTGTCAGCGGAGCACAGCACGAGCGTGGCACGGTATTGAGAAGGGGAGGACCTTGGGCATAGCAGGCAATATTTCAAGGTTTTGGCAAACATTCGGAACCATCGTTGAAACTCCAGTTCCAACCCGAAACATAAACAACATGTCGTGAGTAGGAGTTCGCGTTGGCCCTGCACGCGTGCGCCGCTGCACTGCTATGCTGGAGGTCGGGAAGGTGGCGAGGCGAAGTCTCTCTGGGAGTTGGAGTCACATGGCTCGGTCTGCATGTAACAAAGTGTGGTCTGTCACCGGATAGGGCGTGGCGGTGCCATCGTGGAGATCAAGTGTCGGGGGCGGCAAAGAGGGGGGTGATGACGAGGGGGGGGTGGATATCATGGCGGGGGCCATGATATCTCCCCACATTTCATGGCGCCTCTTCTCATTTCGTTACGTCCCTGGCCCCCCCGCCGGGCCGAGCACATGCTGCCGGTCATGATTTGCACCCCCCCTCTTGGACACGCTCCCTCTTGGCCGCTCCCGAAAGTGGAGGAGGCGCGACGAGTCGCGAGGGCGCTGGCCCGAGGTGGTCGCTGCCCGAGTTCACGCTGCACATGATGGTGGGCAGGGAGGCCGGCTCCCGCTCCTCCTGGTCGTGCCCCCTCCTACCCTCGACGTGCACTGTGCTCGTCCTCCTCCTCTCCAGAGGAGCGATCTCGTACACACGAGCTGTCCCCGCCCACCGCGGAGCTCTAGGCGTTTCTGCAGGTTCTCTTCCGGTTCTAGCATCGTCCGCTTCCACGGCATCCCGTGGTCTGGCCTCCCCCGGCGTGCACGGGGCTGCATTTGCGGCCCCCCCTCGCGCTCGTCAATCTCTGCTGCGAGGCACGTGGTGGGTAGGGGAGCATGTTGGAGGCATAGCTGGCACGAAGGTGAAGACGGGTGCCCTTCTGCGCACAACCAACGCGTCCTCTGCCGTTTGCACTGGTCGCCCGCCGCCCAACACATCCCAGCTTCGGCCTCCAAGGATCTTGCGTCCTTACCACCTGGCCTCTAATTCACGTTATGACTGATGAGGGGGAGGAGGGGGAGGAGGAAGGGGAGGGGGAGGGGGAGGAGGAGTGGGGGAGGAGTGGGAGGGGGAGGAGGAGGAATACATGGGTTGGGGGCGCAATATAAGGAAAGTGCGCCAGTGGATCTCCTTGAATACACTAGAGGGGGTGTCCGGAACCCCCCCCCCCATCTCCCTTGAAGGGGGGGGGGTCCGGAACTCCCCCCCCCCCCGGCGCTGAAGGGGGGGGGGGGTTCGACCTCCCCCCTCTCTCCCCTCCTTTGCGCAGGAAAGGGAACCGGGGAGGGTGGGCCTCTCTCGCTTTTCCGTAATGCGCCAAAGAAGGTGTGTAGGGAGTACGGAGCTGGGAGTAGGAAGTGGGGAGAAGTGAGTAGTGAGTCAGTGCGTAGTGAGTATTGGGTAGTGAGTAGTGGGTAGCGAGTGGTGAGTAGGGAGTAGGGAGTAGGGAGTGGGGAGTAGTGAGTCGTGAATAGTGGGTAGTGTGTGTTGATAAATGAGTAGTGAGTGGCGAGTAGTGAGTAGTGAGTAGCGAGTAGTGATTAGTGAGTACTGATTAGGGAATAAGGATTAATGAGTAGTGGGTAGTGAGTATTTGGTACTGAGTAGTGGGTGGCGAGTAGTGATTCGTGAGTAGTGAGTAGTGGGTAGTGGGTAGTCCGTAGTGAGTAGTGAGTAGTGAATAGTGAGTAGTGAGTAGCGAGTAGTGAGTAATGAGTAGTGAATACTGAGTACTGAGTACTGAGTAGTACGTAGTGCGTAGTGAGTAGTGAGTAGTGATGAATAGAGAGTAGTGGGTAGCGGCAGTGCAGTGGGTAGTGTGTAGTGAGTAGCGAGTAGGGAGAAGCGAAAAGTGAGTAGTGAGGAGCGAGTAGTGAGTAGTGAGTAGAGAGTAGCCAGTAGTGCGTAGTGGGTAGTGATGAGTGAGTAACGACAAGGGAGTAGCGAGTAGGGAGTAGGGAGTACGGAGTACAGAGCAGTGAGTAGTAAGAAGTGGGTAACGAATAGTGGGTAGTGAGTAGCGTTTAGGGAGTAGTGAGTAGTGACTAGTGACCTGTGACTAGTGACAAGAGACTATGTAGTGACTCGTGAGTAGTGAGTAGTAAGTACCGAGTAGTGAGCAGTGAGTACCGAGTAGTGAATAGTGAGTACTGAGCAGGGAGTAGCGGGTGGCGAGTAGTGGGTAGTGAGTAGTGATTTGTGGGCAATGAGTAGTGAGTCGTGAGTAGTGGATTAGTGGGTAGTGGGTAAAGAGTAGTGATTAATGAGTAGTGTGTAGGGGGTAGTGAGTAGTGCTTAGTGAGTGGTGAGTATGGAATAGTGGGTAGTGAGGAGGGAGTAGTGAGTAGGGAGGCGGGAGTGGTGAGTAGAGAGTAACTAGTAGCGAGTAGTGGGTTGTGGGTAGTGAGTAGTGGATAGTGAGTAGTGAGTCGTGAGCAGTGAGTAAGGGGTAGTGAGAAATGAGTAGCGAATAGCGGGTAGCCACTAGTGGGTAGTGAGTAATATGTAGTGAGTACTCTTTGGGGCTGGGGTTAGTGGTTGGGGTTAGGGTTGGGAGTTTGCGTTCGGGTGAAAACTGGGGGTAGGGGTGGCAGGGGTCGGGTTCCGGAGTCAGGGTGCGGCGTGGCGAAAGGGAGGGAGGGGGTGGGGGTTGCGGCCAAAGGGGGGGGAGGGGGGGGGGTTCGGACCCCCCCCCCTTTTGAAAAGGGGGGGGGGGGTCCCCGACGACGGATCGGATGGGAGGGAGGGGGGGGGTTTCCCCGACGACGGATCGGGGAAGGGGGGGGAGGGGTGGGGGGGGGGGGGCGACGACGGATCGGGGAAGGGGGGGGGGGGGGTCCACCCCGCCCCCCCCTTGGGGAGATCCAGCGGCGCACCCTCCTGGCATCGCTCGGGCGTGCGCGTTTTCCTCCGGTGAGGGTCCTCAAGGAACAACCTGGATCATCTTGCGGAAGGGAACCGCACGACACCGAAGCAATGCAAGGGGATTGATCTTTTTCTCAATTCGTTGTTTCGTCGATCGGCCCTGCCCCCCCCCCCTCTTCCCCCCATGGAGTAGATCTTGGCTGGTTTCGGCGCCTGTCTTGAGCGTGTGGAGCTTCTCCCCCCCGGGACGCACTTCTGCAGCCACAGCCGCACTGAGCAGAGGTCCAGAGCCAGGCTTCCGCCCAGCGCCGAAACGCCGAAAGGAAGATGCTCACGAATGGAAGTCCGAGCGGTGGCAGGCGACCGGGTGGGAGTTGGGGTCATCAGTCGTGTTGTTCGGCCGGATGGCGATGGGGGGATCAGGACATGGGGGGATGAGTATCCGGTGCCGTTTTGTTGGGGTACAATTTGTACCTTCTCTACGGGTTGCAAGTACAATTTGTACCTTCTCCCCCCCCGTTAACATCCTCGCACATGTCGCGGACGTTGTCAAAAGTACAATTTGTACCTTGTCTGCGTGGCGTCGGTACAAATTGTACCTTCTCCGTGGGGCGTAGGTACAATTTGTACCTCGGTTGCGCCTCTCTCCCCATCTGGACTTATCCCCCCATTTGCATCCCGCCAAGTTGTGCTCCGACTTCCCTCAATCGCTGCTCTTCTTCTCTCGGTCGCCACGGGGGCTCCGGAGGAGCCCGCGCGGAGCGCGGCGTCGAATGCCCCCCTCCTCCGTCGCCCTGGCATCACGTCGGGCATGCCCTTCTACAGGAGGGATGTTCAAGAGTAGTCAAAAAGTAGTCTGGGGACGTTTCCTTTGACAAGTTTCGAATATGCTTGAGCACGTTTTACTATTCCGAACTTTTCCGCCAAAAGCCGCCTGTCGGAGGACATGCCCGACCTGACCCTAGAACCCTTGGGGCCACCTGGAGCGTCCGCAGTCTCCTGAAGCTCTCACCTGGACGCGTTGCTCTCTGTACAGTTCCTGAGCGCAGAGCGCCCCGGGCCGCTCTGGAACGGCCGCGGCGCCTGGTACGTCATCCAGAGCCCCGTTGGATCTCAGAGATGGCCGATCTCTCCCTGTCCGATGTTGTCCCAGTCCTGGCCTCCTTCTGCCCATGTTTGTTCGCTGCCTCTTGCCCATCTGCCCATCCTGCTCTCTATGCCATGCCCATCCTTCGATCCCAATTATTATGTCCATCTTTCCGTCCATCTCCTTAGGTCCATATCCGTCTGTCCGTCTTCTGCCCTTCTTTCCATTCTTCCATGTCCTGCCCATCCTTCTGCACACCTCGACTCGACTGGGCTCTGAAGGCATGAGAGGTCCGCTGCCTGTCCTGGAGCACAGAAGGGGGAGAGACAGAGGGCAGTAAGGAAGAAGACGAAGGAGCGTAACAAAGTCAACTTCTATCCACCCGTCTGTCTACATCATGCCCATTTGTCCACCCCTCTGTCTGCATCGTGCCCATCTTTCTACAGTCGGGGCCCTGAAGAAGGAACCCTTTTCGTTGTGGAGGGGCTCCGTGTTCCTTGATTGCTTCACAGTTTGCCTTGGGTTTCTCTCGGTTTTCGATGGGAAATCGAAGTTCAAGTTGTGGATAGAAGGGGCCTCGTTCCTTATTTAGGGTTCCTTGGGTCAACGCTCCGACTGTACCCCATCCTTTGTGCCAGTCTTCTGCCTATCCTGCTGCCCCGCTCGGTGGCAAGACTGCGCAACAAAAAGAGTGGCCGACTTCGGCGACGTGCGCAGCGAATTGAGCAGGGCTCCTCCTCCTCCTCCTCGTCGTCCTCCTCCTCCTCCACAATTACACAATATGAAAATACTCTCCCACTTCCCCTGATGGCGTCCCGAAGATATCCGACCCCCCCCCGCGTACTGTTTTTTTACACAGGATTCCCGGGAAACGGGTTTTCGCTTGCGTTTTTCCCCAAAATGCTGCTCTCGCTGAGGCGCCGGCCTCATTTCTGCTCCCGAATCGTTCCGAATCGTGCTCCCGCTGCAGCGTGGGCCTCATTTTCGGATCGGTGTTTGGCCTCCGTCGTTCAGGATGGCGTTCTCGCCCCAGCGCGGGCCTCTTTCTCGCGCGCCCATCCGCCCGCCACCACCGCGCCGCACCACCACCACCACCACCACCACCACCACCACCACCACCACCACCACCACCACCACCACCACCACCACCACCACCACCACCACCACCACCACCACCACCACACCACCCATGCACCACACAACCACGCACACACGCACGCACGCACGCACGCGCACCACCACCCACTACGCACGCGCGCGCGGAGCCACAGGTCCGCTACGACACGCGTCCGCGGATAGAGAAAATCAGCGCCATGGTAAGGGATGGGAGGGAGGGGTAGGACGTCAGATATGACGCGAGCGCACCTAGATTGTCCTCCTCCTCCTCCCCTCCCCTCCCCCTCCCCCCTCCCCCTCCCCCTCCCCCTCCTCCTCCTCCTCCTCCTCCTCCTCCTCCTCCTCCTTCTCTTCTCCTCCTCCTCCATCCTGATTCCTGAGGGCCGAAGGGGATCCTCTATCGCAGCTGTCTCCCCAGGGGCCGGTCGGCCCTGAGGGGTTGATCAAGCCAGAGAGCCTGGTGAGCTTGATCACCGGCTCTTGGGAGGAGAACACGGGCGAACGAGGACAGACAGGAGCAGGAGCAGGCAAGGGCAGCGAAGCTTCTGCGTGGCAGAGGGAGAGGAAGGGGGAGGAGGAAGAGGAGCGAGGAGGAAACATGGGACAGATGAAAAGGAACAATGCACCTGTAAGTTGTTTGATGTATTGCTTTGCCATTCGGCGCGGGCCCTCGCACCCCCCCCTCCCCCCCCACATGGAGTAGATTTTGGCGGTTGTTGATACCTGTTTAGAGCAAGTCGAGTCCCTCCCACATTGGACGCACTGTTGTAAAAAGTCGCTCTAAGCAAGGCTCCAGAGCCAGACCCCCCCTTCCGCCCAATCTCGAAACGCCGACGAAGAAAACGCTCACCACAACAAGTCATTGCATCGAAGGGGTGAGAAGAGAAGAGGTGGAGAAGGAGGAGCGAGGAGGAGGAGGGAGGAGAGGGAGAAGTGGGAGGAGGAGGAGGAGGAGGAGCAGGAGCAGGAGCAGGAGCAGGAGAGAGGAGAGAGGAGAAGAGAGGAGAGAGGAGGAGAAGGAGGAGGAGGAGGAGGAGCGGGAGCAGGAGCAGGAGCAGGAGCAGGAGCACGAGCAGGAGCAGGAGCAGGAACAGGAGGAGGGAGGAGGGAGGAGGAGGAGGAGGGAGGAGGGAGGAGAGAAGAGAGAGGAGAGAAAAGAAAGAGAAGGGGAGATGAGAGAGGAGGAGAGAGGAGGCAGGAGATAGGAGGGAGGAGGGGGAGGAGGAGGAGGAGGGAGAGGAGGGAGGAGGAGAGGAGGAGGAGGAGGAGGAGGAGGAGAGGGGAGGAGGGGGAGAGAGAGAGAGGAGAGAAGAAGAACGGAGAGAGCAGAGAGGAGAGAGGAAAGAGGAGGCAGGATATAGGAGATAGGAGGGGAGGAGGAGGGAGGAGGGAGGAGGGAGGAATGAGGAGAGAGGAGAGGAGGGAGAGAGAGGGAGAGGAGGGAAGAGGAGAGAGGAGAGAGGAGAGAGGAGAGAGAGAGAGGAGAGAGGAGGAGAGAGAGAGGAGAGAGGAGAGAGGAGGGAGGAGGGAGGAGGGAGGAGGAGGGGGAGGAGGGCGGGGGGAGGAGGGAGAGGGAGGGAGGAGAGAGGATGGAGGAAAGAGGAGGAAAGAAGAGAGAGGAGAGAGGAGAGGTGAGAGGAGAGAGGAGAGGGGAGAGAGGAGAGATGAGAGGAGCGAGCGGAGAGGGGAGGAGAGGAGGGAGGAGGGAACAGGGAGGAGGGAGGAAGGAGGAACGATGGGGGAAGGAGGGAGGAGGAGGAGGAGGAGGAGGAGGAAGGATAGGAGGAGTAGGGACAGGAGGGAGGAGGAGAGGAGGGAGGAGCAGGAGCAGGAGCAGGAGCAGGAGCAGGAGCAGGAGCAGGCGCAGGAGAAGGAGCAGTAGGAGGAGGAGGAGGGGAGGAGGAGGGGAGAGGAGGAGGAGGGGGAGGAGGAGGAGGAGGAGGAGGGGAGAGGAGGAAGAGGAGGAGGAGGAGGAGGAAGAGAAGGAGGAGGAGGAGGAAGAGGAGGGGGAGGGGGAGGAGGAGGAGGAGGAGGAGGAGGAGGAGGAAGGAGGAGGAGGAGGAAGGTTGAGGAGGAGGAGGAGGAGGAGGAGGGGAGAGAGGAGGAGAAAGGAGAGGAGGAGAGAGGAGAAGGAGGAGGAGATCGAGCGTTGAGAGAATGGGGCTTTTTTCTCTTCCGCGCACGCAGCCTCTCCAGAGCGGGGCCATACTCTGACGCGCCCGCGATGGAGTGAGGAAGTCAGCTGGCAGGATCACAGCGTCGACCGCTACATGAGCCATCCCTACCGTCTGCGCATCTTGGGGCACAACCCGCAGCTGGCAGGCGGGGATCGCCTCTCCGAGATTACCGAGGAATGCGACAGCTTCAATTTTGTATTCGTGGCAGGAGCACCGGAGAAAGTATACTCGGCGTCGGACTCGACCCTTCTGGGCCGCAGAGTGAATGGTAAGACCGTGATTGAGGCCCCCTGGGGGCGCTCGAGTCACCATATAGCAATCGGGGCTGCGGGGTAGCATCATTTTAGGCGCAGGCCTGGACCGTTCTTGCATTGAGCAGATGTGCCCCCCCCATTTCGGGAGCGTCTGGACGCTGTCTCGCTCTTCGGGTCAAGCGAGGAAACTTCGATGTGACCCCTCTTCCGATGTATTTCCCGCCACAGCCAGATAAGGCGAATCAGAGGGGCCAGCATTTAGGAGTAGCCAAACAGGTGACGAATTGGTTGCAGTCGTTTTTTTTATCGTCCTTGCCAACTCGCACGACCCCCACCATATATGCAGATTTAAATGACGGGTTTGGCTTTTTTTTTGCCAACCGAAAGCAGTGACGATATGCCGATGATGGGGTGGTCGGGGCTCGGGCGGTGGAGCGGCTTCGGGGCGGGGCGCGCACGACAACGCGACAACGCGTAAGCTTCTCGCTCAGCATCACATGCTCGCCTGTAACACTTTGTCGGGCCGAACGGTGCACGCGTATTTTGGCCCCGGCAGCTCGAGCCGTATAGATTATCTCTTCATGCCCAAGCATATGCGGCACGCCATCGCGTCGACTGGAGTTTTAACTAAGCGGGGGGCAAAGCTGCGAGCATTTAAGGGCCCCCCCCCCCAAACAGATCACCAGCCGCTCCATTGTTGCCTGAAATATAGTAAGCATTCGGTTGAACCAGTCCAAGGGCAGCGCGCTGGGGAGCGTTGGCAGCGTGATCAGATAAGGGAGTCGGTGCGGACGGGAATAATTGCTTTTGGCCGTCGAGGCCGAGCTTGGTAAGACGCGCCCCTTGCGGCTAAAAGAACATGCGGCGCCATATCAAATATTTGAAACATTGGAGCAGTGCCGGAGGAGCAAGAGGAGGAGCAAGAGGAGGAGGAACAGGAGGAGGAGGTGGAGGAGGAGGAGGAGGAGGAGGAGGAGGACGGGCTTCAACCTCGGCGCGGCGCCCCGCCGAGGCTTCGCGCGGCCCCGTGGCCGCGGGCGCGGGCGACGCGCTCGCGCCGCTGCTCGAGGCGGGGCCGCCGCCCCGCCCACGGGGTCATGCTGTTCCAGCCTACTTTAGCAAGGGTTCCCACGAGGGCGCGAAGTTAGTCGCGTTTCGCGCGTCGCGGGCCTCATTCCTCCTCCCCTCCCTCCTCGTCTGGCTCTTCTCTCCTTTGGGGGCGACGCGAGAGCGCGAAGTTGTTCGCGTTCCGCGCAGCGCGAAGTCAGGAACCCTTGATCACCAGAAAGAAGGTCGAGCACAAGAGAACAACAGGTACCGAAACTCGAGGGTTTTCGCGTGTCGGGCCCCGGGGGAGGCTCGTCCGACACCGTTTCGGCACTGTTCCGGCACTCTTTCGACACTTCTCTGGTTACCAGCCTCGAACTTATCCCTATCCCTAAGATTGACACTCCAAAAGGCGATGACCGTTTTAGGGATTCGCTTTAAAAAGAAGGGGATCCATTAGATTTGCGTCGTGATGACGAGATGCCCAGCATAGGGATTGGGATATGTTCCAGGCTGGTAATCTGGGTGCTCGAAATTATTTCCGGGGTGTGGTCCTTAAGTAAGATGGGAACAGCCTAATCAGGGGGGACGGGGTTCCTTCCGATCCGAAGGCTTCCGATTCCGAGTCGGTTTGGTTTTGGACTCCGATGCGATTTCGATGGTTCGATGTCGATCCGATTTTCCGATTCGAGTCAGTTTGGGATTCCGATTTGGGTTCCGAATTCTCGGCACCTTCTGGCCCGCCGATTTCCGCCGATGTTCGACTGTTCCTTTTGCTCGGCTCACTGTCGATTTCCGCCGATCCGATGCATTTCGATCGCCGGTGCAGCTTATCGACTCGATTCCGGGCTCTGCCAAAGGGGGGCGGCGGCGCGAGGCCGCGGCTGGGGGCTCCCACGGGCAAGGCGCTGAGATTCGGCATTCGTCGGAGGAGGAAAATGTCGGGCGACGAAATCTATACATATCCACTGCTCCCTGACCATGCCCATCTTGAACCCAGGAGCTGTGTATGCGCCCTCCTGGCCAAGCCAGGAGGGCGTGGCGTATACACCGCTGCGGGGTTGAGGATGGGCCTGGCAGGGAGCAGTGGATATGTATAGATTTCGTCGCCCTAAAATGTACCCAGGCAGGGAGGGGGAAACGAGGGAGCACGGACGCAAGACGGGAAGAGAAGCCACAGCTTCGCTCGAGCCCTGCTGGGACCCCAGGGCGGGGGGAGAGGAGGCGGAGGCACGGGAGGGCGGCCCCCCAGGTGCTGCACGTGGGGAGCAGAAGCGGCCCGCATGAGTCATGAGTGAGTTCGTATTTCAGGAGGGAAAAAAACACACACAGACACAATTAATCGGCGATTCCCCAGAAAATATGGGAAAATATGGGAAGTGGGGGGGAAGACAGAAACCCAGAAAATATAGGAAAATATGGGGAATATTTTTATTTGTGTGTATTTCTTTGTGTGTCTCAGGGCCCCTTCAGTATTTGTCGGTTTGCCCATGCGCGTTGGTCGTTGAAAGTATAAGACTATGTTTGAAGATCCAGATCCTAATATGTTTTAGGCGCCCTCCTGCTTCAAGAGTCGAGCGGTTGTCTCTCTGCCTTCCTCTTCAGGGGGCAGGCGGAAGCCCAATCTACCCACTTCTTCTGGAGCGCACTTTGGGAGAGGTCCGGGGAGTAGCGGTATCGGCACCTTTGGGCTTCCCCAGCAAAGGGACTGGGTGCGGAAAGAATGGGTACGATGCCCAATAGCAGTTGTTGCCCATTCTGAACAGTGTTCGCTGTCCGCGCATGGGTGCGGAAAGAACGGGTACGATGCCCCTTAGCAGTTCTCGCCCATTCTGAACAGGGCTCGCTGTCCGCGCCGCCGCGTACTTTGTCCGTTTGAGGCAGAAGGCCACTTGCCCGACAGCGGGCGCTGTCAGTTTTGAACCAGACATATCGCCAGTTCGGCCGTCCAGAGACGTGATGCCCCTTTCGGGTTCAGGAGGGGCTCTGCTATTGGGCCGTTCCCTTGCTCGTCTTTTGGCGCTCTGGCGCGCAGCGGTCGCTGCCTGGGCCATACCCCCTCCAAGTCAACGGTAACGGTCGTAGAAAGGGAAGGGGCTTGGACACCCCCACATGTTGGTGTTTGCGCAAATGGGAAGTTTGTGGAGGTTCTAATTACTGGGGCATTTGGCATGCGCAGGGCTAATCAGGAGGGAGTGTCTCGCCCCCTTCTCAGACGTGGACGCGTTTTCAACGGGCCGCAGGCGCTCAACCTCTTCGCTTGTGGGTGTGGGTTTGGGTAAGAGCCTGTTTCCTGATTCTGGGCCGATGACGGCCGTCATCGAGGGGGGTGGAGGGTGCCGTTGACGACACATTTCGCGCCGGCGGCGTTTGGGAATGCTTAGTACTGATCGGGGGCCCCCAAACGGTGTGGTGACCACACCGTGCGGTGAGTCGCTGGGGATTCGGGGTCACCGCACGGTTTTGGGACTCGGGTCGTTCTCCGAGGATGTCTCGGGCGACAGGGGCCTCCGGGGTCCCAATACCGTGCGGTGACGGACCGTGCGGTGAGGTCTTTTGGGGTTCGCAGGGTCTATCACCGCACCGTTTCGGGACTCCAAAAATGACGCCTGTGTACAATACGCCGCTTGTGTACACCACAGCAGCCGCCCGCAGCACAGCGTCAGTATGTGCAACACAGCCTGCGTGCTGATGTACATCACAGCGCCTGCGAACACCACATCAGCCATGTGCAACACAGCATCATTGTACACCACAGTGCCCGCGTGCACCACAGCGCCTGTGTACACCACGGCGCCTGTGTGCATCACAGCAACGGTGCGCATCAGAGCATTATGTGCGCCTTTGGCTGGCTTCTTGGAGCTCTTTTGGGGCTTCATGGGGGCCTCTTGGGGGCCTGTCCGGGGCTTCTTGGGCTGACATTTTCAGTATTTGCCGTGCTCTTATCCGAAGAATGATTATCGAATGACCTTCGGCAAATCCCACCACCGTACCTGGGTTGTGGGTCTGGGGCCAGTCAGATGGCTGATGGGGTCTCGTGGGAGGCGTTTCCGGGGCGTTTTGGAGGCAGTCATTAAACCTCTTGGGGGCCTCCTGGAGTCCTCTTGGAGGCTTTTTGTGACCGTCTTGGGGCTCCCTGGGGGCCTGTAGGGGCTCCTTGGGGCCAACCGGAGGCATCTTGGGTTGGAAGGCTCGAAATGTCCGTTGGGGTTCCCCTCTGGGGCTCCTTTTGGGGCTGTTCTGGGGCCGTCCTGGGCCGTCTTGGGGGCTTCTTGGACCGTCGTGGGGCCCTCTTGGGTCGTCTTGGAGCCTTCTTGGGGGACTCTTGGCCCGTCTTGGGGCGATCTTGAAAGCCTCTTGGGCCGTCTGGGACGTTGTGGACTCCCAAGAGGTGAATGTGCTTTGAATGCGCGTCTTCCAAAGGGAGAGATACGAGTTTTGCTTTTGAAGGCCCTCTTGGGACGCCTCTTGGGGGCTTTTCGGAACATCTTGGGGGCCTCTTGGGCCGTCTGGAGGTCAGCGTGGGCGTTTTTTGGATCGATCTTTCAGCGACTCGTGGCCCTCGTGGACGGGGCCTCTTCGGGCCCTCTTGGCCTGGTTTGGGGCCCTCTGCCCCCCTCGGGTGCGTTCACCAAGATCCCGGGGGACCCCCCACCTCCAAATCGAGCGGACCAGGTTCTTGGGGGAGGGTTTTGGGAAGGGGGGAAACTCTCACACGCCAATGAAAACCCAAGGGGTCGGCGGGATTTTAGCATAAGCCTTTTATGACAAAATGGAACCGCCTGTGGACTCCACAGGAAACAATGTGTTACACAGGAGTTGGAAGGGAATCCTTATGGAAAAGGAACGCCGCTGGAATATATGAGTCCTCCCGAATCCTCCCGCATCATCCTGACTCTTCCCATCTGCGTCCAGAAGGCGCCCGCAGAATTGGCCGTCCGAGAACCAAGTGGACTGATTAAAAAGTCCATCCTGCAGTTCATATTCAGATGCGCACGAGTGGTGCAGCGCCGACCCGCAAGACGGGTGGAAGGGTGAGGGAGAAGCAGGAGCAGGAGAAAGAGAAGGACGAGGAGGAAGAGGACGAGGAGGAGAGGGAGGAGGAGAAGGAAGGGGAGGGAGGAGGAGAGAGTGAAAGGAGGAAGGGGAGGGAGGAGGAGTAGGAGGGAAAGGAGAGGAACAGGAAGAGAAAGTGAAGGAGGAGGGAGAGGAGAAGGAGGAGGGGGAGGAGGGAGGAGGGAAGAACATCGCATCATATTATCAGCACTTCCCTTGCGTTGGTGCTCAGCTGTCTGCAGCAGATCCTCGCTTACATGCTCCTTCTACCTGTCCTGCGCACGCAGGGACAGTGTGGTACACAAGCGCTGCGTGGCGCGCGGATGCTGCGGTGTACATAGGCGCTGGGTGTGCACAGGCGCTGCAGTGCACGCAAGCGCTGCTGTGTACACAGGCGCTGTGTTGCACATGGTTGTTGCGGTGTACACATCCCTTGTGGTGTACACAGGCGTTGTGGTGCACGCAAGCACTGTGGTGTATACAGGCGCTACGTTGCACACGGCTGTTGTGGTGTACGCGAGTTGTGGGGCACGCGAGCATTGTGGTGTACACAGGCGTTCTGGTGCAGATCGCTCTACACGCCGCTCCTACTTGACCCCGGCCATCCCTGGGCATTCTGGGACGCCGCCAGCGCGGAACGTGACGTCACTTGGGGGGGTGGGAAGGGGGTCGGGGCGATGACGGCCGCCATCTCGGATAATGAAACAGATAGGCTCTACGTGGCGGTGTGTTCGGTCGCAGAGCCCCTGCCCCGACGTGCCCCACCCCGCCCAAGCACTGCCAGTACCCAGAGACCCCCCCCCCACTCCCCCCAAGTTCCACGGGCACTGGCCGCTACCGCAACATAATCAATCGGACAAGGCACGATCTCTCAGGAGGGACAAAACCACACAGGCACGATTCATCGTCGACTCCCAGGAAAGGATGGGAAAATGTGGGGAGCGGGGGGGAAGGCAACAGCCCCGA